TTTTACAACCTCTCTTTCATCACTATGATTTCTCTTTACATGGCGCATGAAATTTTTTGTAGCAATATCTTCACCACAATACCTACATCGGATAACTTTTTAATTATTTACCTAGCAAACACTACTGTATATATATTTACATACCCCCCTACCACCCAACAGCTCAAATCACCCCATCACTCCTATACCCCCACCCCTAGGAGTTGGGTGTTATAAACCCCTCTCCCCTAAACACCCAAGATTTGATTATTCATAACACAGAAATAGTTATTTTATATTACTTACCATCTTTTTTTGCTAATTCTAGCATAAGCAGACTTCTTGAATTCATCATTCCGCCTGGAAGTGGTAACGACACTAACACAATAATTTTAAAACCTCTTCAGTTCAAATGTTATACAGAAAAGTAGCGAAAACACATTTACTGCTGTTGCCAGATCTACCCACAAATTTGAAGTGTTAACGTATCACGAATATAGCGGAAGTAGGTTGGTACTGCCCGTAGTACACGCTAATAGATGATCCTAGCGCCAGCGATCGGTTGCTGAACTAAGGCCGACTTTTATAGGGGAGTATGCAGCGTTGTAACTTCCTTGCATAATTGTCCCATTAGCCCCCCTTTGACCCCTTTGTTCATCCTAAGCTTAAAAGCATGGGAAGCGTGACTTCCGAAAGTGGAAGTCATAGCGTTATATATGAAGTGACAACGAATAATGAGTATCTGATTTGGAAGTGATAACGTATGGTTATATATATATATATATACTTCGAAATGATTAATGTCAGATCCACTCAACCTGTATGATGGCGAGATCCACATCCACATAAAACCTCCTTAATTTCGCAAAGGAATGTAAGTAACTTAGAAAGCAGCAATAACCAACTTTTTCTTAACCAGCAAATATATATATCTCTCCAAAAAGATGCGTACGAGATCCGTAGTTGCGCGAACTTCCGAGATCCAAAATTGTATACAAATCTATATATCGAACGTTAACATATACCGTTTAACTTACTACTCGCTTGTTCATCTGCAACAGCCTGTATTGTAGCGTCACTTTCGTTACACTCAGTTTCATGAAGGATATTTTTATCCTTTTCGTTTTCCTCTGAGTTGGCATAATTTTCGTTGTCATCCGAAATTGTTAGGGCTTCATCCATATTCTCATCGACAGCTTCATCTTGTGATTTTAGTAACAGTTTCGCCAATTTGGCGGTCTGGTATATTTCCTGTGGTAGCGGTAAGCTCATCAATTATAATAATTAATGGCAAATACTAACCTACAAAAATTCCTTTTTTACCTCTTATTACAATCCTTTTGTATTTTTTAAAAAGAATCTTTTCGCTTTCTGTCAATTTCTCTAAAAATTCTTTTGAAATAACATCATTCTTCTTTTGTAAATAGCTTTCCAATTGTAATCGTTCAAGTTCACCCATTCTTCTTCTATTAAGTGTAATAAGTAATGTATAGCAGCATATTTGTAAATCTTTAAACTACTTACTGTCATTTTCATTCTCTTTTAATTTATCTGCGCTTGTCTTTGCTTTTTCTTTTATAAACGAGTTTAATTTTTTAATATCTGATGTAAGAGGTATTATGGTAGATTTCATCCACTGGTTCTCAATTAAATCTTGATTGGCTGCACTAACTTCCGCGTTCCAGTTAGTTTTGAAAAGTTGCCTTAATGTTTTGATTTCTATACCTTTAAGTGCACCATTGATACCAACTGTGAAAACTGCATTTTTCTGTTGAATTTCTGAAAAAGCATGATCACACAGTTGCTTTAGTGTTATCCCCATATGAAGAGCCAAAGAAGGAGATTTTTCGAATTCTTGAGACTCCTCGTCGAAGCCACAAATATTTTGGGTGCCTAAAACAAAATACGGGTGCCTAAAATAAAATATTTAATTTTAAAATTTTAATTTTATTTTCTGGCTTTAATGATTCATAAAAACTCGTTTCTGATATATGATATCATATTTTTCCACAAACGAGCTAGTTCACGTAATTTGTTTTTAGTGACTTTATTTAAATGACTGTGACGATAACGCTTTGCATAAAAAGATCCGAAAGACAAAATTAGAGGGTCACTTTTAGCTAGTAATGAGACGCTGTCACAAGGCATGTTCAGTACACCTTCCTTTAGTCGTAAGCTGCTAATGAATTTATCATTTATTGAACGAAATGCTAAATATATTTGTGCGTTTGATGTGCCAGTAATTGTTTCATTTGGGCGTTGAGGGCAATGTATGGTATGACGTTTCAAATAACGTTAGATATAATATCGTTTACAGTATATGCAGGGAAGAATATTTTCAGCAGAAACACTTTCTTTTGACCGTCTAACAGTCTTTAATTCATTTTGCACAGAGGACAAGAAATTTCCTTTCTTTCCCAATCTGTCAATANCTATATGAAATCTCCAGGTGAGATATTTCCCGTATTTTTTTTTATAAATCCGCCGTAAAAACAAAGATTTTAAAACAAAATTCATCGAAATCGGATGATTTTTCGATTTTCTAGAGCCAAAAAACGAGGGGACCGCGAAAGTATAAAATTACCTTTATCAGTGATAATAATCATAGTAATAGTAATAATGTAACAATAATTTTGAAAACAAAAATTAACTGAAAATGCTTACCTTTCATTTTTTGGAAAACGGTGAAACGAGAGATGTGGCATTCTCGTTGATGTATTTTTACATTTTAAAAATGCACAAATATTTGTAGATGGCATTTTTACGATTACAATGCACAATAATTTATACACTGAACACACTCGCAAAAAAACAACACAAATTTTATGCACTGTTAATGTAATTAAACAAATTAAAAAAGATAATAAGTTTTCGCTCGAATTATTTCGCTCGAAGTGTTAACTTTCCAAGAATCTCAGAAAATCTAAAAATTCAAGATGATTTTTTCTGCCGCCAAACTTATTTTCTATGCGTGCGCATCCTTCTTTAGTAAAATAGGCGCGGCTAATGCAATGACATTGTCGCCACCAAGCGTTGGGGTATCGAAGCTTGCGGGCGCAGTGTCGCCACTTGGTGGCTGGGGTGGGAACCTGCCGGCTTGGGGTGATCTGTGGTGATCCGCAAATGAAACACGGCATTGTATTTCTATATACGTCTCTCTTCTCTGCCGTAGTACACGCTAATAGATGATCCTAGCGCCAGCGATCGGTTGCTGAACTAAGGCCGACTTTTATAGGGGAGTATGCAGCGTTGTAACTTCCTTGCATAATTGTCCCATTAGCCCCCCTTTGACCCCTTTGTTCATCCTAAGCTTAAAAGCATGGGAAGCGTGACTTCCGAAAGTGGAAGTCATAGCGTTATATATGAAGTGACAACGAATAATGAGTATCTGATTTGGAAGTGATAACGTATGGTTATATATATATATATATACTTCGAAATGATTAATGTCAGATCCACTCAACCTGTATGATGGCGAGATCCACATCCACATAAAACCTCCTTAATTTCGCAAAGGAATGTAAGTAACTTAGAAAGCAGCAATAACCAACTTTTTCTTAACCAGCAAATATATATATCTCTCCAAAAAGATGCGTACGAGATCCGTAGTTGCGCGAACTTCCGAGATCCAAAATTGTATACAAATCTATATATCGAACGTTAACATATACCGTTTAACTTACTACTCGCTTGTTCATCTGCAACAGCCTGTATTGTAGCGTCACTTTCGTTACACTCAGTTTCATGAAGGATATTTTTATCCTTTTCGTTTTCCTCTGAGTTGGCATAATTTTCGTTGTCATCCGAAATTGTTAGGGCTTCATCCATATTCTCATCGACAGCTTCATCTTGTGATTTTAGTAACAGTTTCGCCAATTTGGCGGTCTGGTATATTTCCTGTGGTAGCGGTAAGCTCATCAATTATAATAATTAATGGCAAATACTAACCTACAAAAATTCCTTTTTTACCTCTTATTACAATCCTTTTGTATTTTTTAAAAAGAATCTTTTCGCTTTCTGTCAATTTCTCTAAAAATTCTTTTGAAATAACATCATTCTTCTTTTGTAAATAGCTTTCCAATTGTAATCGTTCAAGTTCACCCATTCTTCTTCTATTAAGTGTAATAAGTAATGTATAGCAGCATATTTGTAAATCTTTAAACTACTTACTGTCATTTTCATTCTCTTTTAATTTATCTGCGCTTGTCTTTGCTTTTTCTTTTATAAACGAGTTTAATTTTTTAATATCTGATGTAAGGGGTATTATGGTAGATTTCATCCACTGGTTCTCAATTAAATCTTGATTGGCTGCACTAACTTCCGCGTTCCAGTTA